TTTTTTTCTAAATGAAGATTTATACTTGATAAAAAAATTATAGGTTATAGAAGTCTGATTCTTACAGAAAAAGGCTGTTTATCAATAAAGAAATCTTCTATGCACGTTTACATATGGAATCTCATAAAATAAAATATAAAAGTATATACATTACAACAAAATTAAGTTAAATCAGATAGGGGCTCAAAGAAGATAAGGATAAGATTACGTTATCGCAATCTTTTTATAGAACCCCTAGGTACAAGTTTAAATAAAACAACGTAAGAAAAAATAGCTCGTATAAAAATATACTAATAACAATGTTATCATTAAAATGTCAAGTATACTCACTATTGCAATACCCTATATGTATTTTTTTTTTTAATAAATATGGTAGATAGAAAGTCTAAACCCATTTTTGAAAATAAACTTTTACGGTAAAATCAAACTTTAGTCATTATGTGGTCACAAAAATTGCGCTAATTGAGTAGAACTCTATTTTCAAGTTAGATTTTGAGACTAATCCCTTATTAAGCATGATATATGAAGACAGGCTAAAAGGTTTACTTTACTTATTTGATCATTTTCAGTTCTAAATTTGCCAATAAACATAATTCTAGTGAAATAACTTTTGGATAGTGTGTACTGTTTTATTTTCAAGTTTAAAATGTTTTCAACACCATTTATTCAATATTCCTGAAATAATTGTCAGACTTTGAAGTCCAGTATCCAATAACCGATAAATGCTTATGAAACATTTACTTTCTAGTATAAAACTTTACTTTCTAGTATAAATAACATTAACCTACTTAAAAAATAACAATTTTAAAAAAGTCCTCTATTGCCTGGTTCTTACAGAAAGTTGCTCTTCAATTCAAGCCTGAAAAAGTTGTTCTGAAATTTAAAAAGATATTTAAATATTTATAAATGAAATTTATAAATATTTAAATATCTTTTAAAAGTAAATGAAATTTAAATATTTATAAATGCCTATAATATTTTAAAAACAATTTGCTCTTAAAATATATTAAATTGTTCTTGTACCAATAAATTAATTTTAGGTAATAGTAAAGTTATGTCCTATATGTATACTTAGAGTGTTCCATTTTAAACTTTTTTTTGAAAGTTTAACCGGGGTTTTTAGCAGTGATCTAAAAACGCTAAATACCAAAAATTTCAAATTTAGAACAATTTTTAGATCCCCTACAAATTTTTGGTTCAAGTAATGGATTGCGCAAGTGTTGACCAACGTTTTTACCCACTAACTGTTATTGTTTCTTAGTGGGGTTCACACAACTTATTTGTTAATCACTAAGGAGTGATTCTACAAAAATTTATTAATTTACAACTAATTGCACTTATCCTACAAGAAATTTGTTTCAGATGATGCGTAACATAATTCAGTTATTCCAAAACTTTTCAAACATTATAATCTCGATACTTTTGCTCCATTATAAATTTAACATTGTGAAATTGCATTTAAAGAAGTCATTAGGTTTTAAGTTCTTAATTCTCTTGAGGTAAATAATAGTTAAATAATAGTTCTTAAAAACATGCCGTAACGTTAATAAGTTTAACTTACAAAGTTTTTAATGAACCTTTCTCTGTTATTTTAATATTGCAAAGTTTATATCTAAACATATAGTTACTTACAGTGATTATATTACAAGCTTCAGTCTTGAATTAAACCATGGTAAAGGCTTCCATACCAAAGAAGGTTGGTAGACCTAGTACAAGTTTGGGAAATTATGTACCTATTGAAGCAGAAGAGGCAGTACTTAGATCAGGAAAAAAACGTTTATTAGATTCAAAACATATTCCAGCTACTGCTATAAACAAAAACATTTCCGCTAAAAAAAGCAGAAGTTCTTCTCGTTTAAACCATTAGGCTGTTGATTAACCCTTAAAAAACTTGAAAGGAGGAAAGCTTCAATTGAATAGAGCTATATTGCAAAAGTATATTTTTGAGAGAGAAAATGTTCCTAGAAAAGAAGCAAGACTCATTTCAAATGATCTAGTTAGCGATACCATTGAAAACTTTTGGTTACCTGCTCGCATTCTAACGAAGTCTAACAGGAAGGACTGTGCTGATCAGATTGTCCGTTTGGTAAAAAAATATGAGACACTGAAAAAAATTCCTGAAAGCAGAAGACAAGAAAGAAAAGTAAAGCAAAAAACTACTTTTTTTACATTGAAATTGGACAGTCTGTTTGATATATCACATACAGACATTTACACATTGTTTAAACACTCTGGTAACAACGAGTGGCTTATTGACTGGGAATTCCTACAAAACTAACACAAGTTTCCTCAAGTGGGCTCAATGGCTGTAGTAGACTAAATACCTGCTGGAAAAAAACGACAACGATATCTCAAACAACAGTATTACGAAAGAAAGAAAAGAAAGGAATTTTTTTATATTAAGAAACAGCAACTCAAAAATCTTTAATTTTGCTCAACCATTACTGATAGTAATGAAGTCAACGAGGGCGCCAAATTTCCTTCAGATGTTACAAAAGAT